TCCATGCCCCTGTGATTGACTCCATCTGGCTTTGACAATTAATTTAACTCAACAATAGGAAAACATTGTCTCGCGCCATTCGAGGGTACTACACATAAACAAACATGATTACGGAAAATCGATTATCGCACGTAATTAAAGGTGATATTTTAATAATCAATCTATCCTCTTTCGAAACTTTTGTTAATATATGTTACGTATTCTTGTATCAATATAATGTCTGTGTCCAATAAGGACATTACAGTTTTAGTGACTAGAAAGTTTTATTGTTGATTCATATTTCTCATGAAATAGTATATATACTGTGTAAATGTGTTGCGCCTTAATAAGGTACATTGTTATTAATTATAGCAGTAGTGTAACAGAGGTATTTTTTTCAATGTTTCCGTTGAGTCGAACCCAGGACCTCTGGTTTGTAGTCTTGCGCTCTACGCAATTTCCCTATCCCAGTCTGTAGAAAGCGGCTAGTGTTTTGTACTAGAGTAACTTTCTCTCTCCTCCCACCCCCGGGAATGTTTCCCAGTGGTCATAGCGAATCCTTTGCAAGTATTGGGATTTATTTGATAATAAATAAATGTATCAGAGTACAAATGAATAGTGTTGTTTCACCTTGAAAACGAAGGGAGTAACCTCCATTGGCTTAATTGATCAGAGTTAGCTCCCATGTCTTCTCACAAAGCGGAAAGGATAAGAGCTGTCTACGGGGAGAAATCATCAGCTTTCAGTCGTCTATCAACATGACCGGACGTTAGGTTTCAATTTTTACTCTTTTGGACTCTGTATTTAGAATTCAAAATTGTTATTAGACATAATACCGACACCCCTTGCATATGACTGGTGTGATTTAAAGACGCATGTGTATCCCCATTCCGACATGATGTGGTTTCTCTGTCAAGTGTGTATCCTGTGGGCATTATACTACATCATAATATTATACTGAAATCACTATTGCGTGACCTTAGACAGTTGAAAACATGAGAAAAATCTCTTTTGACTAGAAACCTCACAGTTAGCCGTCCAACTCTCGACAGTGTCTGTGCTATATTTACCGTTATTATATATATCTAATTCAACATCATTCCCACAAGAAACTCGTTGGTGAGAGGCAAATATTACACGCTTTTAGAGACCTCATCTTACACGAGAAAATCAACAATTTTACATGATAACTAATAATGTTCTCAAATTCTTTTTATCACATAGAATTCTATTTTCATTACCCCACCAACACCCACACTCAACATATAATATTGTGCAAATATCATATTTGCATTTTGCATTTGGAAAAAAGTGTGATATTTTAAAAGGTTTTTATTGATTTGTAAGCATATTAATTTCAAACCAAGCTATTCGGTTTTCCTCTGTATAGAAAAAAATGATACATTTTACGAAAGCAGTTGAAGGTAGACCTTATATAGTTAATTGGTATAATTAGTTAATGGTGAATAAATTGTTTCTGTGTTTAGTTGTATTACCATTTAGAAAACAACCCAAATCACAATTGTATTCAAAAGGAACTATCAAAACAACTTGATATCTTAATATTTTTGTATTTGATCTCAGAATAATGTTTTTTTAAAGGGGCATCACGGTGAAGTAATTTTATTTTTTGTCTTTTTTTTCAAATACTACATAAACATATCAAGTGAGACTTCTTATGGAAAATAACGATCGGATTTGGCTGAAATAGATTCATAAAAATGATTAAATCTAAGAAAATCATCGGTATTTCTACCTGTCTGACCAACGTTTTGTTCAGGGATTTCCCTCTACTAGCGCATGCGCATAGCACACCATTTCTTTGTAAACAAAATGACTGGCCGTGTGAAGTAAGCGAAAGAAAAGTGTTGTACCGTGTCAGCTACGAAACGAAAAGTTGCCAAATGGTCAAAAGATAGCGCAAGGAGTACGTTACGGAATCATTATTGCAGGTGGGCAGTATTCAAAGGAGAAAATAACTGCCGTAGCAGTTAGTACGGTGCATGTATTCTTCCGGATAGCCGGTTAAGCTGAAATGGAATCGACAGAAATGCTAGCGCTGTTTATGTTATGAATAAATATCTAAAATTATTAAGCTCGCTAGTATCTCAGTCTGAGTTTGAACAGAGATGAACTTAGTTTAATATGTTAATGGGCATGCATTGGAGAGAGTGTACTTTGTGTTTCTATAATTATACAGTGGTTTATGCGAAAGGAAGGGATAAGTGACTGGTTAGTTTGATTTTGCCACGAGGCCCTCCAAGGGATAACTGTTGTGATGGCCCACGGCGTATTTTCTGGGTCACCGAGATACGTGTTATCTAAGTCCGTGGATTTACATACATTGTAATTTATAATATTACCGGGTTCAATAAAATGGTATGATTTAATAATATTGCTGAATTAAACGATTATTTTTTGTTTTTACATGCAAGATTTAAATTAGTACTAGTATGAATACCCGGCCTCCTCTGCCCCGGCAATATATAAAAAAAAATTCAGAAAGGTTTGTCCCTTGGTGTATTTAATTGAATTCAATTGAAAAATAATGGACGCAGGCTGAAAGCCTCTAAGTCCATATCACAAAACATAGTATAAAAATATTATATTGTCACTGGTTAACATATATAAACTTTCCCAAAAGAGTTATTTTAAAAGTCATTATCAGTAATTATTGTAAATAGTGTCCTTCAGATGGTTATCCAACAGGATCTCAAAGTCCTTCGTGGTTTCTGCATTTACAACCGATTCCGGTAGACCGTTCCAGATATCAACTACCCTAAACGTGAACGAGTTTTTCCTTAGCTCTGTACTACATCGTTGTTTATACAGCTTAAATTTATGTCCTCGTGTTCTTTCGTTATTATCGTAGACAAATATGTCTGACGTGACTTTCTCATCAAACTTCCTCTTCACAATCTTGAAAACGTTAATCAAATCACCTCTAGTCCTTCGGTGTTTTAGTGTCGGTAGTTTTAATTTTTCTAAACGTTCTTCGTAGGAGATTTCTTTAAATCCAGGTAGAAGCTTAGTGGCTCTCCGTTGTACATTCTCTATCATCTGGATATCTTTAAGTTTATACGGACTCCACGCACTGGCTGCGTATGCTAGATGCGGTCTTACCAGAGCCTTAAATAACTGTCTAAAAATCGGTTCGTCCAAAAAAGTAAATGATCTTCTAATAATCCCGAGTACTGAATTAGCTTTATTTATTGAGTTTTGAANTTTATTGGCAACAAATTTATGTTTAAAGCTAAATAAATTTAAATTCTGAACATTGGCAAGTGTGCAATTAACTTCTAATGATGAATAATTACTGTTCAATAAGTTTGAATACGGACTTAGAAATCATATAACTTGGTTTCATAGTGCGGTAAGAAGTTGCAGTTGCCTGACGGCCCCTCTCTGGGGACCCCTTTGGAAACCGTTTCATCTCGCTCGCACCACTTGTGTTTACTGCCTAGTCAGGTGACGTTATCGGCGCTATTTTTAGCAGGGCTTTCCCGAACAATTCAAGTGGTCAAACTGGACATTTGGAAAGGACTATGAATATGGGGATAGCGAGGTAACATAAGTGGAAGTGCATACAATACATACATTCTGAATTTCATTAAAAAAAACACGCCTTTTTACGTGATGTCCCTTTAAGACTCTCATATCAGACAGGGTTTGGATATACTTCACGTTTTCTGATATGCGTCAACTTTAGATTTCCACAACCTACTATATAACTATTTACTGTGTTAAACACTGTTACTGTAGTTGAAGTAATTAAGTGAAATTGTAACTATGTGATATTGGTTTTATGCCTTTGGTAATCTCGCATGACCTCAAAGTTTAACTTATTGATTTCAATATTGCGATATATGATAAATTTTAAAAATGATTTATCATTTCGTTGTTACATGTGAATATAAGAAATTGTCTTTTTTTTATAAAAAAAAATCCATGTAACTTCAATGCAGTGAAGGTTTACAGGTTGAATATCTTCACATTTAAAGAAAGAACGGACCCTTTAATTCTATACATTGGATGAAAAGCCGCAAGTGTCTGGGTCAGATGGTCTAGGTACACCATTGTTTTAAACACTGGTACCATTCATAACAGAATTGTAAGTAAATCTTACCAGAATGTAAATAATACATATATTCCCCATTTAAATGATGGTATATACTCGATGTCAGTTGAATATAGCATCAGTTATCACACTATAATTCCCGCAGTTTTTGCTTTTTGTTTCTTCTTTTTTATTGAGATTTTCGTCGTTTTAATTTAATTAATGAAATCGGGTTTCCGTCGAACAGTTTGTATGTTTCATCCATATTGCAAAATGTACTAACATTTTTTCTACATAACATATTATTTTCACATGCTTCGCACCCGTGAACAATTTCGGTGTTCTTAGATACGTATAAAATATGTTGTATTAAATGGGAAACATAAAATATCGTCTATCAAATTGCAACATTTTGTTCTAACGAAATTACAAAATTACAAAAGGTACAATGTATATTATTTTTGTGTTGCTTTATGTTTTTATATGATGAATAAAGGTAATACAGTCTGTATTTAATTGATACAATATTTCATTGATATAAGTGTATACCTTTTCTTAAATATCAGAGTTGATTGTTGTATAATGTACAGTGCTTATGGTAAATGTCTTTCTATGTCGAAGAAAGAGTGTCTATATTTAGAAATCAATGGATATATACTTAATGACTATCAAAAAAGAATGTGATTTAAAATGAAACATTGAAAGATATGGGTGTAACCTGTAAATAAAATTTTCTGGAGACTTACGAAAGCTATGAGCTTGCTATCAAGTCCTTATTTATCTACTTCATGTGTATTCGTATGATTGTTGTTGTTCATGTAATTATTAAATAAAATAGTGTTAAACCACGGAATTAGATTCTAAGTCCGTGGTTAAACCAAATAAAACGTCTTAAATAGATTTCTATGTTACGGTTATCTCCCTTCCCGGAAGTGTCACTATCTGCCTAACTGTTGCCCTTCCCGACAGTGTCAACAAAGTGCAGGTGCGCTGATGCATGGTATTTAGGAATCTATTAATTATTTACGTCGGTGTGAGAGGACGTTGAACACCAACATGTCGACGTCCAAGGAAAACATGCAGGTGAGTGAGATAGCTATTAAATGGCTGACTCAAATATAACGAGGAGCGTACATTACGTCGAGTTGACAATAACATTGACATACTTTCTGTAAAATGTTGTGTTATAAATATATAGCAGATTTTAAACCAGGTGTGTAGAGGGGATTTAAAGTCCTGTGTACACAGACATATATTCACACGTCCGTGATACAAAATTGATCGAATGACTATTCTGATATCCATAGAACAATATATAATAACTCTTAAGAATCTGTACTTTAAAACACATTTGTATTTGTATTATACAATTAGGACAATATATATATATATATAGGTTATACCACATGTAAACCTTACATGTTCGTATACATGTATATATATACTATGCTTGCGTACATGTATCTATATACCGTTATGTGCATCCTTTGCATGTACCACATGTATGAAATACAATGTATATATATATCACCTCAGTGGGAGGTAATATAATTGTCTACGGATCGATATGACACAATACATTGGTTAAGTGACAATGTGACACGTGAATGTATTATCTATTTACTGTTATAACTTGAAGTGGTTCTGCTATGATGCCCATTGATTAACTACTTACTCTTTTGTTGTGTCATCGCTGGGGACATTAAACCATGCTGATTTCAAAACAGGGATACATTATATAGAACCACATACAATGCCATTCATTTTAACAGATCTTCTGTCAGGCCTAAACGATTTGGCATTTTCATCAGACGTACGCCTAACCGAATTTCAGACCATACCGCTGAACAGAGTCGAACAATTGCATTTTCATTTGGTGATATACTGTTTTGTTGCTATTAACATTTTTTTTTTTTTACAAATTAGATTATGCATTAAACTTCGGGGTTATTAATGACTATATTTGCCAGTAATACATAATTTAACAGAGGGAATGATATGACATTTTGTTGTTGAATATGACAATGTAGGCAGTGTTTATTGTACAAAGCCTGTAACATAAATATTGGGCCAGACCAGGGGTTTCTGCTTCACTCATTAATCTTTTAGTAACTTTTAGGACATGCCAGCAAATATGATAAACTGTTGTATACTATTTTGACTTCTTATACGTTACATCATTCTTTGAAATTCATTTTCTTCTGTGCTGATTAAATTAGAATACTGAGCATCCCTATTGATCCTCATACTGTTTCTCCTATCATTGTTTCGCCAGTTTTAATTAACTGCTAGACGGCAATTCTGTAATTTCTCAACACTCTTTAAGACGTATTATCCAAATCCCACGAAGAGGAATTAATCATACTCCACCACAAAAGTTAACGAGTTTGAAGTAAAGAGTAAATGTGTAATGTCCTACACTATTACCACCCTGTCACAACCAACGGTGTAGTTTTACTGATATTCGTATTTGTTCCGTGTATGACAAATGCCTGCGTAGGGGGGTTGGCTGGGAGGAAAGGGTGCTACTTCCCGGACTAAACAATGACATGATTGTTTCCCAATACTAACAAGAGGACCTTGTTTACGTGGTCGGTAAACTCCGTAATGGCCGCTTTGTGTATTGGCCGCACAAAAACTGTACAGATCTGTATTGTCGATAAAGGTTATGGAAGTACTTATGAAGTCTTAAGCTCGAAACAATGGCCATTTAACACTGATATTTAAATCTCCTCTGTAGTTGTCAAAATAAATTGAAAACTTTAGGAATAAGTTCAACATTTAAATCAAGGCTATAAACTTATCGATTTTATAAAATATTATAAAATCTATAAGGATTATATTAAATCTGGGCAATTACATGTGAGTACGCCAGGAACGGACTGTTTAGACCGAGGTACCTGGCCTGTATTTGTTAAGGCTGGTGTGAAATAGTATACCATAATTTGTTGAACTTACTAGGACCAAAGAAACAATTACAGGGTGTACGTTAAGACCTATCCTGTCGGACAGGGAATGGTATTAGACGTTTAAGGGATTTAGATAAACACATGGAAAGACAGCCACAATGGACCAGGACAGGGTGACAGTTTATTTGAACAAGAAATTAGGCATACATTTAATTTTCAATCTGTTAAGCGCCTTCTCCCGTCATACCTTTACATCTATGCTAAAAATCATACAAATGATAAATACACACTTATTATTAAAAATCGAGTATGTTTTACTAGAGTTAACGAAGTGATGCACATGTCTTAAACATTGGGTTGAAGTATCCGCGGGAAGATAGGAATTATCAAACAAGCGTCATACCTGACAAATGAGATGAAGATTTTGTAGTAATAAACGGCAATAAGTGACAGAAAAGAAAGAAACCGTAATACATGGTAGCTCGTATAAAACAACACAATTGTCAATGATGCTGTATCGGAATATTTAGCAGATCTAAATATATATATACATCGTGTACATGTTTTGTCCTCCCCATGCCTTTTTTTTTTATTTATGTAGGAAATAAGACAGAATGACAAAAAAATATGGAATTGATTTTCATTCTTATATATCTAATATGCCCTGTAGTTGCTCCATATCCCATCTCTTTGCTTTGCTCTGTTTTAACATGCAGTCCGACTCGGAACACGAGGATTTAGATGACATTGGAGAAATACTAATGGTAACCAACATCGCTGCCTGTCCAGCGTACTATTGTAGTGTAGCTTCGATCAGTGTAGTTGCATCAAGTGGGATGTGATGGGACAGATGGGAATCTTAGCAAATTAGTAAATTAGTCTTCCTGAATCGTGATCTGTGCTGTCTGTATCTTTCATGTAATCTTTCATCGATGTGATGTAATTCTTCTATTGGCTGGAGCACACGTTTTATAGACGTTCTTTAACTTAGTGCTGACAAGCGCTATTGTATGGCCCATTATGGAAATATATTTACATTTGCGCTGCAACCCACTTTATGAACATTACTAGCAGAAATGCATTTCATTTGAGTATGAAAGCAAAAACTCTCGTGACGTAACATGTGGTCTACATATGACGTTATAGATTAACATTGTTCAATAAGAGCTTCAAATAACATGGAGAAATGCCCCTGCCTCAAACGCTCAAATGACTACGGTTAATTATTGGCGTCGATTTTAGTTAAATAGGGCTGTTCCACCAATGTTGTTTAAAGGACGACGCATAAACGAAAGGCAGTAAATAAATAAATAAATTAATAACAAACAAATAAAAATAAACAATTGTTCAATAGTAAAAATGTAAATATATGGATTGAACGGCGTGTTTTGTAATTTTCATGCCGGTATGAACGCCAATCGGTTCCATCCAAAGTAAACATGAAGCCATAGCGGGCTTCATGCAATATGGATGTAACCGATTTGCGTTCATACCGGCATGAAAATTAAAAAAAAACGCCGTTCAATCCCTGTTTAGAATCAAATCTGTTTGGAAAAAAAATGGAATTGCTTATGTGTCCAGACGGTGTTGATAGTTTCTGTAACTGGGGACTTATCTCAAAAATGTTCTCCAGTCGTGAATCCATATGACGTCTTTTTTATTATGCAACCATCAAATCTCATTCTGACCTATACAGTTCCTTCTGTTTCGTTTTCGTGACTGAACGTCTATGATGTTCTGCATATGTCAGATACGTGATGCTTCAGGTAGGTTTGTGGGGGGGAACCAGAATACATATATACCAGTCTGCACTTGTAATCACGTGTATGCCTATACCTACAGCTGATCTTTCTTGATCAAAGACTGGCTGAACAAGCATTATTCGGTTGTTCCTGATCAGATACAGTTGTATAGGGTCGTCCTTCATTTCAGTGTTGTGATACCCTGGCCCCGGTTGCTCAAAGGTTGGGTAGAGTTAACTAGAAATTGAGGACATTTTGAAATTTGATTATAACAAAATCGCGAACATCTGATATCATTCACTGCTATTCCGTCTTTGCGTATTGCAGAGTTATCTTCTCTTGTGAGCAGGTATTGATTGTTACGTCACTTGTTTGTGAGAGTAACGTCATCAATTTTTGTGAAAACGACGTAATTTTCTCGCACAAACCAATGCCGTAACAATCAATACCTGCTCCCAAGAGAAGATAACTCTGCAATACGCAAAGACGGTATAGATTTGTTGAGACAAATACGATTGATGTGTTTTGAGGATTTTATTTGCTTTTGAAGCCCTCATTCCGTATTGGCAACAATTTGAATTTTTCAATAACCACTGGTTATATTTAAGTAACCTTTGAACAATCGGGGCATGGAAGACAACTTGCGTTGGTGTAGTACAGCATTACTTCTTAGTCGTCTTGGTAGGTCTGCATGGTAAAGGACAATATTAAATGTTAGTTGTAGGTCTGTGTGGTAAAAGACAATATTAAATGCTAGTTGTAGGTCTGTGTGGTAAAGGACAATATTAAATGCTAGTTGTAGGTCTGTGAGGTAAAGGACACTATTAAATGTTAGTTGTAGGTCTGTGTGGTAAATGACAATATTAAATGTTAGTTGTAGGTCTGTGTGGGACAATATCAAATGTTAGTTGTAGGTCTGTGTGGTAAAGGACAATATTAAATGTCAGTTAGTTGTAGGTCAGTGTGGTAAAGGACAATATTAAATGCTAGATGTAGGTCTGTGTGGTAAAGGACAATATTAAATGTCAGTTAGTTGTAGGTCAGTGTGGTAAAGGACAATATTAAATGTTAGTTAGTTGTAGTTCAGTGTGGTAAAGGACAATATTAAATGTTAGTTGTAGATCTGTGTGGTAAAGGACAATATTAAATGTTAGTTGTAGGACTGTGTGGTAAAGGACAATATTAAATGTTAGTTAGTTGTAGGTCAGGGTGGTAAAGGACAATATTAAATGTTAGTTGTAGGACTGTGTGGTAAAGGACAATATTAAATGTTAGTTGTAGGACTGTGTGGTAAAGGACAATATTAAATGTTAGTTAGTTGTAGGTCAGTGTGGTAAAGGACAATATTAAATGCTAGATGTAGGTCTGTGTGGTAAAGGACAATATTAAATGTCAGTTAGTTGTAGGTCAGTGTGGTAAAGGACAATATTAA